CCTGGTCTACACAGGGAGTTCCAGGCCAGGAAGGGAATGAGACCCTGTCTCAGAAGCAAAGCAAAATAAAATGTTGCACACCTTTAATTCCGGCACTTGGGAGGCAGAGGGAGGTGGATTTCTATGAGATCTAGGCCATCCTGGTTTATATGGTAAGTTTCAGACCAGCTGGGGCTACAAGGAGACCCTGTCTTTAAAAAACCAAAAAAAAAAGACAAATCCTGTCTTTGTGCCCTCCTGTCCCAGAGGGACAGGTACCAGGTGGGAGTGGGAATGGTGGTCTGGTTACCTCAGACCTTGCCTCTCCTCACCCTTAGCTCTTTCTGGGACTCAGGCCAGTTTAGGACTGGCTGGGCTAGCTCTAGGGGCTTGAAGGATGAAGGGGCTGGGGCCACTCAGCTCCAGTGTCCCTTGCTGTGGAACAAGGGACTTGGCATGGACCTCCTGAGGGGCGGGGGCAGGGAGGGGTGGGGATAGTCTGAAGTCATCGCCTCCCGTTTCCTCTTCTGTCAGACTCTTTCAGAGTCAAGTCTAGGCTCCTTGCTTCCCAGCTGGTTCTGTCTGCCCTGAAGGTTAGGGGACTGAGGTCCACCCAAATAGACCCAGGTACCCAAGGCCCCTCTCACAGCACATGTGGGTCCCTTGAATTCAACATCCCAGCCAGAGCTTGTCAGCCACCAGGGAGCTTTTTAGAGGCAGACATTGAATCCCAGTATGTTCCTGCCTTCCAGGCCAAGTAGCACTTATGACCACCCACTTGTCTTCAACATCCAGCTGTGAGGACACCCCACCTTCCCCCAGCAAGTCCCTGTAGCAGATTTGAGTTCTCTGTTCTCCTGATAGGCTTGATTTTAAGTGCCCATCTCTCAGCTTCTGTACCCTCACCCCGGCTCCTCCTGACTATGAGATCTGAACACAGCTGTGAAGGTGGCTTTCCAGCAAATGTCTGTGTAGTTAAGGAATGTTGACCTGCTGTGGTAAGGGCCAGAGTCAGCCAGCAAAGAGCGCAAACAGTCCTCCCCAAATCACATTCCCTCTGCCCTCTGCTGAGCTGAGCAGTCCCCCCAGCCCCTGCTAGTGTGCACCTGAAATCCCCTTGAGAAGAGAGCCAGGTGTGTCTACACCACAAATTCCAAGGAACAACCTGGTGCCTGGATTTGCCTCACTGGCTCCTCACTACTACAGGAAGTTCACACATCAGATCCAGACTGACCGCGCAGGTCTAGGAGGAATTCCTCACAGAAAGGTGGTAGAGAACAGGTGTAGGGTGTTCCTTTCCAGTCACCCAGGACTGGGGGGGAAGAGTCTCACAGACTTACTGCAATGTGCTGCAAAGCTTGTAGCCCCCACCTACCCTGTAGCTAGCCCCAGTAATGAAAATAAACCTTTGCCAGTCCAGTTCACTCCCCTCTGCCCTTGGAGAGCCTCATCCTGCTGTCCTGAAATATACCCACATGTCCTGTCCCTGATGCTCACCCATAGGAACTCAAAGGCCACCCTGCACATTGCATTGACATGCCAACAAAAACCAGGCAGCTGTTGTGCCAGGCATGTTTGTGCACACACACACAAATATTCCAGGCACTCTCTGACCCCGTGCAAATTATCTGCTTCTCTGACCCGTGTTTGCCACACTTCATACTAAACACACACACACACACACACACACACACCAGACTTATTTTGGAGCATAGACCCTGACCCAATTGCATGAGTTCAAGTCCCAGCTCTGCCATTTGGCAGCCCTGAGTCAGAAAGTTTGCTTCTTCTTTACTTAAAAAAAAACAACAACCCACTTTTGCCAGGCGTGGTAGTGCACGCCTTTGATCCCAGCACTCGAGAGGAGAGGCAGGGGGATCTCTGTGAGTTCAAGGCCAGCCTGGTCTACATAGAGAGTTCCAGGCCAGCTGGATCTGCAGGGAGACCCTGTCTCAAAAAAAAAAAAAAAAACAACTTTTATTTTATGTGTATGAGTGTTCTGCCTGCATGTATGTAAGCACATCTGTATCATGCAATGCCCAAGAAGGAGGTCAGAAGAGGCTGTTAGATCCCCTGGAACTAGAGTTACGCATGATTGCTGGGAACTGAACCTGCATCTTCTGCAAGAGCAGCCAGTACTCTTAACCACTGAGCCATCTCTGTGACACCTTTATACTTTTTTTTTTTTTTTCAGACAAGGTCTCACTGTGTAGCCCTGGCTACCCTGTGACTCACAATATAGACAGGCTGGCTTCTGTTTTTCAGGTTTTCTTCTTTGAGCCTGTTTCTTCACCTGGTAAGCCAAGTTGCTTGTGCTCAGTGTTGCCATGAGAAACACACTCCACACAAATACTCTGATGTATGTGCTCACACACAGTTCCACACATAGACACCAACACACACTCAGGATCATCAGACTCAGTAAACATACACACACACACACACAGGTGTAGAATGTTAACCGTCACTTCTACACATGGGGAAACTAAGGCCTATAAGCACTCTCCACCCCACAGATGCAATTCACTTCCCCACCATGTCATGAACCTTCACTGCATAGGTCTGTACCTGTTCCCGGAGTCTCCTCACCAACTTAGCCAGAGATTCCCCATGTCAACATGACACCCAGGATGCAAGTAAGAATCTGCAACCTCAGAGACAGCTTGGCTTCTTAGTCTCAAACATGGGAGACAGTGGCTGGCCCACAGTGACCAGGAAGGGACAGAGCCACGAGCTGAGGCCTCCTGACTTCCATCTGTGTTTCCCACTACCCCAGTACCACTGCTGTCTGTCACCTTCCCTGACTCTGCACTTCCTGGGTGCCCCGCCCACTGTGCCCTCTGGTATCTTTGCTACCTATCGGATAACCAATTCTGGGGATGGTGAAGAGGAAGGACAGGCAAATAAGAAGTCTGGACAATGTCTTGTTTGTTCTCCAACTTCCCCAGAGCCAGCAGTGGGAACAGTGGCGGGGTCATAGCATAATCACGCCAGCCCATACCCTGCCAAGGCTAAGCCTCCACATCAGGCCAGCTAGGACCTCCCTGGAGGACTAATAGCCCCCAATTTTTGAGCACTGCTGTTTCCATTGTCCAGGGAAAGGTCAAATGTATGTTTTCCAAAATTGTGGACCACAGCGCCTTTTCTGTGAGGGCCTTGCTAACAGGGATGGAGCCCAATCCATCCCTCCCCAAAGATGCCCTCCCCAGGGCACTCATGTGATCCCAGGCCAGGCCTCCCAATCTATGCAAGTAGTAGAACTGGCTCTTGGAGCTGTACCCGGGTACCACACAGGGCTACTTGGGGTGCATACCCCAATATGCAATCATCAAGAGGAACCAGAGCACAGGCTCTGAGCCCCTTCCAGCATCATTTCCCAACATAGCTCTCCCCAGCCTCTCTGAGGGATCATGGAATCCATTCAGCACACAGTGCAAGAGTTGATGTTCACTGCCCAGGTCAGAAATCAGCTGGCACCCCATACAGAGGTGCCACTTGGCCAGCCCAGTGGCTCACAAGCCTATTGAACACTGTGTCCTTGGCAGAAAAAAACAACACAAAACCCCAGTAACTGCAGGAGACATACTTTAGGCCCTCAGGTCCACATTTGCAATTCAGCCTTCAGCTGTCCCTCCCTGCTCTTACAGTCCTGTCCCTCAGTCCTGATATATAATAAGGTTCCACTGAGCTAGGCACAGTTGTGCAGGAATGTAATCCCACGTACTCTGAAAGCTGAGTCAGAAGGAACAGAGACTAGCCTGAGCTACATCGTGAGATCCTATCTCAAAATACCAAAAAAGAAGAGGGGCGGGAAGAAGAGGAGAAAGAAGATGGTGGTGCCCCTGGAGCCAGCAGGGCCTCCAACAAACCTATTCCTATGAAGGCAATATGTTGCTAAGGATGACCTTGAACTTCTGGTCTTCCTGCCCTTACCTCCCTAGTGCGGGGATTACAGGAATGTGCACCGACCTGCCTGGTTTTATGTTGTGCTAGGAATCCAACTCAGGGCTTTGATTATGCTAGGGCAAGTACTCTACCAACTGAGCTATATCCCTAGCCTCCCTCTAAGACTCTCCTTCTCCCTGGAGCTTGCCCTGACTGAAGGAATGGTCTTCTGCCCACCCAGTAACCCAGCAGCCCTGTCCCTCCCTGATTTCTCTGATCTCTCTTCCTCAGTCTGACCTCTTTCCTTCTCATCCCTCTATATGTGGGTGTCTGCCCTTACCCTTGAACCTCCCCACCCACATGGTCCTCTTCGGTGGATCACCTACTCTCATGGTTTCTTTTTGGGCAAAGTCTCTCTCCTGAGCCTTAGATGACTCCACATGGACATCCTTCAGATACTGGGAGGTCACTGTGTCTGAATAGAGTCAACACTGCCTTAGGCCACTTGGTGATGGTATCACTGCCACCCAGACCCTGAGATCTGGTGAAATGCCACCCCCACCACACTTGCCCTCCATCACAGTCCCTCTGTCCTCCATCTATCTACCTTGCCCAATGTCCACAGTTCCCTTCCTAGCTCAGGCCACCAGGGCACTCCTGGCCAGCCCAAGGGATCACTCAATAGCACCAAAGCTGTTACATCACACTTGCTTAAAAGCCTTTCATGATTCATCAAGCCTTCAGGATCAAGTCCTGACTCTTTAGTGTAATCTCAAAGCCTTCTGTAGCAGCTCCAGGACCCACCACACAGTCTTATCTGCTGGGACCTGGGATCAATACTGTGCTGAAGACTGCCACCACCAGGACTCTGTACACACTTTCCCCTGGAGCAAAGGAGATCTTTCTCCTGCTTTGTTACCTAGCACTACTCACAATGTAAGACTGAACCCAGAACAAAGGCCTTGTCTGTCCCCATACATGGTTTGGGGCCTTTACACCTGTCTGCTCCACTATGGTCCTGTGGCTGACTACTGGGTTCCTAGGCCAGAAGGGCTACACACACCAAGTGCTCCAGGCCTGCATGCAGGACTCTGGGGATCTTAGGTTGGGGAAGTTGGGTACAAACCCAGCCTTACCTGTCTCTGAGGGCCCGTGGGGTCCGACTCTCTCCGACGAGGGCGGGGTCCAGAGTGCAGGGGTGAGTGGGAAGGGCTTCCAGGCGTTGGGGGCTGAGATGTCTCTGACCGGCCGTCGGCCTGGCTCAGCTGGGGTGGCACGGGCTGGGGCAGCATCTGCCGCAGGTCCTCCTCAGCTAGTGTCTGCATGCCACGTCCACGGGGCCGCACCGTGGGCTCTGTCCCCAGCCGCCGCCTCTCCTCACCCTCCTCAGGCAGCGGCCGAAGCTCCTCGGGCTCCTCATCTGTGGTGCCAGACGTGCTGGGTTCAGCCCCGGGAGGGAAGTCCTTGAGCTCTGTCTCCTTATCAATGATGACCCATTCCTTGCTGTCAAAGTCCTCTTCCTCCGCCAGCGGCACAGAGCGGAAGGCGTTGCTTAGGGCCTCCTGCTCTACAGAGGCGGATACGTCCATGCGCCCACTGGCCTGCCTGTCTGCGTGGCCTGTGTCCACTGACAGCATTTGGGCCGGCTGTGAGGAGCAGGCCTGACGTGAGGGTGAGCCAGGTAAATCCATCCGTGACCTGCAAAAGCCACCCACGTGGGGTTCAGTGGCCAGTCTCTGAAGGCTCAGGACACCAAGTGGTGGTGGGGTGCAGTGCTAACTTCTGACACCTGACCATAGCACCTGGGCTAGTCACCTTATATTGTTACCCTTCAACCTCACTTCCTAGAAAGACTTCATTCATTCATGTATCCATCTATCATCCATTCATTCAACAAAGGTTTCTCAATGCTCACTGTATTCCACGAATATTTACATAGCAGAAAATAAACAGGGCCCTTTCCTCTGGGTACCTCAGTGCTCACAACCCCACCCAAGACTCCCTCCTGCTGCATCCAGGACAAATATACCAGGCAGCTCTTGAGTTTACAGATGGCTTTCTAGCTCTTTTACTGCACCCTGCAGCCCTGCCCATCTGGCTTTATAATCCCCAGGCAGGGCCTAGTCAGTCTCCAGCTTCACAAACTCCCCAGCCCTAAGCAACAGTCTTCCTTCCATAGCCTGGCACTCAAGGCCCCTCTCCCCAACCTGACTACACCTCTGTTTCCACTTTCGGCCAGGCCCATCTCAGATTCACTCAGTTTTCTCAAACTGCCCTCTCTTGTACCTCTGTAGTGTTGCCACAACCTGTACCTCCATCCTCTGTTCTCTGACGCCATTCTGATACTCTTCCTGTTGAGAGCCTGCATAGATGGTTATTTGCCCCCCAGCCACACTGAGCTCCCTCACACACTGGGCCTCAGATCTGCTGATGGATCTGTCTCCCTTATAAGCTGTGAGCTCTCTTAGATAGGACCTGGGTTCCCCCAGCCTTTGACTTCAGGACACTGAACCTATCTGGGACCCCTCTTGTCATGACCTTGAAATGTTCCTGCGAATCTTATACTCGCAGAACTTATCAGTTTGGGACAGTACCAGCCCCAAAGTAAGAGTACTTCTCTGGTGGGGCTGGAGAGATGGCTCAGCGGTTAAGAGCACTGACTTCTCGGCAGAACTTCAGGATGAGCCACAGTCATAGGTCATTTAAGAAAGAACTGATTCTAGCCACTCCAACAGCTATCAAAGTGCCTGACAACAAATCCTGAGTTCATCACTCTCAAGTCCAGCCTTGGCAGCCAAAAGGAAAATGAGGAGGAACCCAGTAGATGGATGCTTTTGGAAGCCCTTGTCAAGAAATTCCAATGGACTTTTATTTGGATATTTTTAATTTACCCTGTTCTTTTTTCTGGTTCCCTGTCTAGAACTTGTAATGCTAAGTACTCTTGCCTTTACTTTTCCTTCAAATCTCCTAGGCACCAATCAAGGAATTTCTTTTCTCCCTATAGTTAAGAGTTATGGAATTTGGGAGTCTTTTAGATAGACCCACTGAGGGGTACCCCAATTGCCTCACCCTGCATCCCTGTTCAGCATGGAAGAAGCCAGAGCAGTCTGCATCCTGATTCCCTATCAGCAATTTGGGTAACCTCTCAGAGGGTGGTATGATAAGAATAGGAGATAGAAGTTGGCTAGGCAGTTAGGGTAAAAAGACCCCAAAGAAAAGTAGCCAGGTTCTTTCTTGGCTAAAAGTCAAGATGTCCTTAGGCCTTTGAGCAAAGTACTCTGCCCCAAAGGCCAAAAATGTTAAAAGTATTTGAGAGCTCTTATCCCTAAAAGATTTTAGGGTTACCTCTTCAGAGGGGACAATGTTAGATTATCAATAAGCCCCATAAATTTAACTGGTCCATACTATAAAAAAATGTCTAGTCTATCTGTTGGAGGATCCACTTTTCCAGTCTCACCTGGTGATAGAACTACTCCCAGGAAGGCAGGTTCACCTTAAGTTATGCTAAACAGATGGGCGGAATACCTGGTGTGTTAATAGGGTAGTGAATATTTCCTGCCTGGAACTAGTGCAGATCCCCGCATAACTTCCAGACCAGCCACAGTCATGTAGGTCTCCATAAGTCTGTTCACTTTCCTGAATTCTTCAAGCAAGCATAATTTCTCCTTTTCTTCTTCATGCTTCATGTTCCTTACTAACCATGCTTTCCTTAAGGCTTTGGGCTGCCCCTAGCATCTTGTATTTCTTCACTCTTTCTAAAGCTTCCTTCTCCCAGCCATGTGGCTGTGAGTCAGCCTCGTGTCTGACCTCCATGCAGGCTCTAAACCTGCACTGCTTCATGATTTTCTTTCCTTCTTCCCACCATTCACCTCCTCAAGGTATCTGACCAGCAAGCCTGCCCTGAGGATTTTTCTTTAAGATTCTAATAAAATTGTAAAAGTTTCAGAAAAAAAAAAAAGAGTACTGACTGCTCTTGCAGGGGACCAGGGTTCGATTTCCAGCACCCACATGGTGGCTAAGAACCATCCTTAACTCCAGTTCCAGGGGAATCTGATACCCTCTTCTGACCTCCACAACATTGCACAACACAGGTGCACTCACATACATGCAGGCATTACATTTGTACACATGAAAAACAAAAAGAGTATGTCTGGTGTGTGTGGAGGAGGAAGACACTGCACATAGAAAAATTAGTGATCTCCAAACACCAGCATAACCCTCTGAAAACCATCAGGCCTAACTCATCTGGGGTCTATGCCCCATCCTCACATTATGCTATGGTTGAGGGGCAGATTTAATCCCAACCCCCCCAGCAAAATTTAGGGTTCAGTGGCTCAACTGCAGAAGGAGGATGCACAGAGCAGAACTATCTAAAGACTCCTGACCAGCCTGCATGGGAGCTGCATAATTCTATTCTACATACTTCTATTGATTTATTAGTAAGGCTTAAAATAAAACCATCAACAGAGTCCTCCCTGATATGCCTATGAATGCCACCCTGTAAATGACTGGTATAGGAAACCAGGATGACATGCCCTAGGGCAAGATGATCCTAAAACATTTAAAGTCTAGGCTACATTCTCTGTTGAAGGGAGGGGCACTGAAAACAGCAGCCCTCAAATCCCCATCTTACAGAATACCATGAGACTAGCAGGAGAAAAGTGGCCAGGTCAAAAGTCTAAGTTCCTTGCTTTGAGGGAAAGCATCTTGGTCAATAGCTCTTAGCCTACCTCCTTGTCTTGAACAAATAACTCAGCTATTATTAGCTGAGAATAGGCCAGATTAGGGGTGGGGAAGGGGGAAAAAAAAATAGGCCAGATTAAAGGTTTACTCCTGGGTTAAAAGCTAAAAGTTTACTATGGTTTTAGCCCTAAGAAAGAAAACATTGTGGCCAATAAATTACCAGATAGGCACTGGTAACCTTGAGTAAAAGTTCAAGCATCCTGCTTTACATACAGCACCTAGCTGGTGCCAGCTAAAAGCTATATGTCCTAAAATCTCTGCCCTAAAATCTTTGTATACAACTGCCAAACTCCACGTGGCTGTCAGTTCCTTGTAATGTATACAAACCTTCTGAATTTTTTAATAAATGGCTTGCTGTAAAGAAACACTAGCTCCAGAGTCGGAACTCTGCACTGGCAGGTATCACAGTCATGGAGCAAGGCTCACCGCTAAGCAAAGCAAACTTGGGTCTCTGCAGAATTGGTCTCATTTCTTCTGATAGACAAAGGAAAGATAACGAAGAAAAAAATGAGCTGATCTGTGTGCATGTGTGTGCACTTGCATGTGTTAAAGACAAGGATGAGGGAGGTGGGCCACCCCATCCAATCTCTTGCCCCAAGCGCTGTCAAGCCAAGCCCACCCTATCCTGTCTGTGACATCCTCAGCTTTCTATTGTGGAAACTTTCCTCATCCCTCCCCTTCCAGCCACTCCCAAGACTAGTGATTCCTATGACCCAAACAGACCTGCTCAGTGTTCTCTGGAAGCAGGCAGCTTTCCAGAACTGTCTTGCCCAGGACCTTGCCCCTCTTAACTCCACTTATATCCCTTCCTCACTTTTCCACGTCAGAACCCTCTGTACGTAGGGACTCCAGGGTACCATGTATGAAGATGAGGTCGTCAGGAAGCCCAGGTGAGTGTGAGTGAGTGCTGTCTCGAACAAGGACTCAGACCTGCCTTCTGCTTGTCTACTCCTTCCTGCAAGTGATACTGTCTGTGTTACATCTTAGAGATGAGTAACGTGTGGGGCACAGCCCAAGGAGTGGGCCGTATTGATGTGGGTCCCGAGGAAGGATATTTAGTGGGTACCAAAGAAAGCATCCTCTTCTCCCAGGGCCTAGAAAAAGCCTCCTTTCCTAGCACAGCAAAGGCCCTGGTCCTACTATGGAGCAAAGTTCCTCAGAGACTAGGGAAATAAGACACATCTCATTTCCCAGTGGCCTCCCCATCTGGTTCTCCACCAACAGCTTAGGTGGGGGACCTGGCCTGTCCTGCCAGCCACACCCACCTGCCTGCCTCCTTCAGTCCTCCCTCTCTATCCCTTCTTCTTGCCAGCCAGGTTCCTGCTGGATCTCTCCTGCCATGACTTCATATCCCTCAATTTCCTCCCCTCCAAAACTTGACCTGTCCTGCTTCCAACAGTTCTCCGATCCTCCCAGGCCTTCTGTCCACAGGCCAAAGGAAACCCACCTCTGCTATTCTCCAGGTATCTGTAAATCAGTCACTAGGAAAAAAGTTCTAGAAGCTTTTCTACTCACCAGCTCCAGGACTCAGAGTCCAGCCTGTCCTGTCCTTTCCTTTCTGGATGCCCCACCCTTCTCCCAGGCCATCGCTGACCCCAACTGAGTGGAGCCCTACCCCAGGCTCAGCATAGACTTCACCATTCTTCCTAGGGTCCCTGAAATTTCTGTCTCACATCTGACCTTTCACAGACCAGCCATGTTGATGACAGATTGGACCATCATGCCCTTGAGGACCACCCCAGCCCCTGATTGTGGACTCACCTTCTCTCATGGAGCTCCACCCGCCCATCAGCTGCTGTGGATAGCCTCTCTGACTCAGGGCTGTTGACCCTCCGGTAGCGTAGAGACCGCACTGGGGTGGTTGGGGAATCTGGGGGGGCACGAACTGGGGAACTAGGTACCCCCACTCCTCGACTCTGCTCTTCCTCCACACAGGGGGTCTGCAGGAGAGGGAATGTCATGAACTGGGGCTGACAAGCAGGCTGTGGGTCAGGGGGCTTTCTCAGAGTGTAAGAGATATGGGGTGTGGAGGGTGATGTTACTACTAAATTGTGGCAAGGCCAGGGCAGAGGAGGAGACTGGGTAACAGACATAGGATAAGAGAATTTGATGGTTGGGGAAGGGACACTTAGCCAAAGGGTTGGGAACCCGGATGGGGGAAGGCCGCCCACGTTCTTCTCCCTGGATGCAGTTACTTTGCCGATGTTGATGCGCAGCTTGTTACGGTTGACATCCGTCTCCTCCCATACTTCAGCCTCAGGACCCCCAGGGTGGGGGACAAGGTGGGGGCCAGGGCCCAGTCCATCAGGAGGCCTCCCAGGCAGGATTGGGGGTGCATTTTCCTGGTCACTCAGGTGCTCGCCCTGTAGCACATCCTCCGTGTTCTCCCGGAGCAGGTCCCCAGGCACTGGAGTCACATTGACCACTCTGGAGACGCCAGATGGGTTATGGGTAAGGCTTGCAGCAGTGCCTTCTCTTCCCAAGGCACAGGCCCTGGAGACCACCTCCAGAGTGGGTGCAGAGGAGGCCCATCACCATCCCTTGCCCACAAGACCTCTAAGACCAGACCACCCTCAAGTTGGCAGGAGCCTCAGGGAGATGTGGCCACCCAGAACTGGCACCCCCCGCCAGCTCCGTTTACTCAGGAGATCTGTGGGTTTCAAGGCCCTGACAAATTCCACTGTCGGTGCCGGGCTTCTTTTGAGACCCTGGAATAAGTCTAAAAAGCATTAGTTTGTAGCACCTCAATAAACTTTTCTTTCTGTTTTCCAGTTGGCCTAGAACTCACTATGTAGACCAGGCTTGGCTCAGTCTCACAGAGATCCACCTGTTGGCCTGCAAGCTCCCAGGAATTTTTCTGTCTGCCTCCCATCTCAACCTGGAAGTCCAGGGATTACAGACATACAATATTCCATCTGTCTGGCTTTACATGGGTTCTGGGGATCTGAACTCAGGTCCTTATGCTTTGTGGCAAGCTCTTTATCCAGAAGCCTTCTCCTCAGCCCCCTTCTTCCTGTTTTTGAAACAGGGTCCCCCTTTGTAGCCTAGGTTAATCTCAACCTCATGATCCTCCTGTCTCAAGCTTCTAGGTGTTGGGATTCCATGGTGTGTCCCATCATGCCAAGCTTTCTTGAGCAACCTCTTCACAGAATTCGGCTGCCAAAGTCCCAGCAAGTCTGTGGTATCTCCCTCTTAAAGATGGCCCTGGATTGGGTGGGGACCCACCTTCCCTCTTCATCTCCTTCCTGGGCACTGCTCTATTTGCCTGTCACATGGTTCTGAAATTGCTGAGCCCACAATTGAGACCCTTTGAAGTCAGGGACTGACTTCTCTTTGAACCCCCATGGTGTCTAGGTGGGTGGTCCCAAGACATAGTTATTGCAATGAGAAAACAAGGTGGAGCCCTGGGTAGGGCTTGAATTAGTTCACCTAGGGTTCCTGCCTTGGTGACAAGCCCCAAATGAAGAGGATGCCCGCTCAGTGCTCAAATTGGGAGTGGAACTATGGTAGAATATTCCAGTTTTCAAGACTCTGCTGTCAAGCATCAAGAGTAAAATAGAAGCCAGGTGTGTCCAGGTAGGAAGAGAAGGCTGGCTTCTCAGGCAACAGCTCCGGGGAAGGATCACTGGATACCCCCATCCACCATGCCCCTGTTCAGACTCACCCAAACATGGCTGCTGTCTGCCTGGTGTTCTGTTGGGGTGGGGTGGAGGTGCTCGTGGACAGGAGGGCATCAGTGCCTGCCTTCTCCCAGTCAAAGGCCTCATTCTCAGCAATGCCCCGCTCCTTCATGCTGTTCTCAAACACCGCCATGATCAACTGCAGGGGGTGGGGGTAGGAGGAGGACAGAGAGGTGACCCCGGGACTAGCTAGGTAGAAGGGGCAGTTCCTAGAATTACAAGGGGGGGAGGAGAAGACAGGGGCCTTCTGGGTCAGTGATGGGCCTAGAGTGGGCATTGGAAGGAAAAGGGCACACTGATTTTAAATGAAAACATGCACAGCATACACAAATCAGCACATAAATGATCATCTTGGATTGAGCTGCACCAGCTGGACATGAGACATGTCCCTCGAGAACTGTCCCCACACTCTGGATTCCATCATGTAGCCCTGAACCACACAGTAACATGATTATAGTGGTGGCGAAAAATTCCTGTCACCTGGTAATGTCATAGCCACTGTGATGTCATTACTCTGGTTTGTGATGATGATGCTGTTGCCAGGCATATCCAAATATGCACAAAATTATGTGTAGTATGTAATACTATACTTTGTGTTTGATTCTGAGTTTTCAAAAAGGACTTATTTTGTTTTTAATTGTTTGTGTATGTGTGTTTGTGTAGGTATATGCACATGGATGCAGATGCCTTCAGATACAGGTGCTTGAGGGGGACAGAGGTATCAGAGTCCCTGGAGCCGAGGTTACAGGCCATTGTGAGCTCCCTGATGTGTATGCTGAGACTTGAACTCAGGTCCTCTGGAAGATCAGTACCCTCTCTTAAATGCTGAACCATATTTCCAGCCCCTAATTTTATTTTTTTTGAGACAGGGTCTCTTGAGTTAGTCCAGTCTGGCCCAAAATTCATGATCCTTCTGCCTCTGCTTCCCGAGAGCTGAGATTACAGGTGTGCACCACCATATCTGTCAATATTATACTTCTTAACATTGTTTTAGATCATATCCCTTCTACTTACAAAAAAATTACTGAGGCTGGTTATGTAGCTCAGCTAGTAGAGTGCTTGCCTAGCATTCAGGATGCCCTGAGTTTCAATGTCCAGCATATCATAAAATTGGGCATGGTGACCCATGCCTGTCATCCCAGCCCTTGAGAGATGGAGGCAGAAAGATCAGAAGTTCAGGGTCATCTTCAGTTGATAATGAGTTTGAGGGCAGCCTGGGCTTGCCCTATAATGGTACCCTGTATTAAAACCAACAACAAAAGTTACTGTGAAACTGCATGTGTTGGGCTAGGAGCAGCTCATGTTTCTTGTGTCTGTGTTTCTTTTTTGTGTCATTTTCCCTGGAACTTGATTTAATTTCATTTTGGACCTTGTATATGTCCACACCACACAGTCCATGTGTATAGAGAGTGGTCCTATCCAGGTTTGATAAGTGAACTCTATGATGTTCACATAGTGGCAAATTAACAAAATTTCTTATGAGGCCGGAAAGATGGCTTAATGGTTAAGAGCATTGGCTGCTCTTGCAGAGGACCTGGTTTCCCAGCACCCACACAGTGGCTAACAACTGTCCATAACTCCAGTCCCAGAGCATCCAACGCCCTCTTCTGACCTCCATGAGCATTGCACAACATGAGTGCACTTATACATGCAGGCAATATACCCATACACATAAAAAGTAAAATAAAAATAAAAAAGATTTATAAAAATGAAAACTTCTCACACTGTATCCTTGTCACTAAGCAATGCATGGTTAACTGTCTCTGAGGCCAGTCCTGCTCCTAACTATGACATCAAACCTCCGTTTCCCATATATGAAATGAGGAAGATCATTCTGTTTGGCCTCCAGAAGAGCTCTGGTGTCAAACACTTGAAAGGGCTTGGCTTCATTTGAAATACTGATATATCGTGATCCTCAAAGGCTTCTTTTCTTTTTGAGACAGAGTTCATTATGTTGCCCTGGCTGGCCTGAAATCCACTATATAGACCAGGCTGGCCCTGAACTCACAGTGATCTATCTGCCTCTGTCTTCGATGTACTAGGATTAAAGACATGAAAGTTAACTCATGAACAGCCTTGAGAATAGGATCCACTCTTGAAAAATCTTGGCTCTGATTATTTACAACGGTAAGAAACAGTTTAGTATAGTTAGAAGACAGGGGTTGGGGGCAGCCTCAGGGGTGATCTTGAAGGGTGTAGTCTGCAAGGGGAGAGGTCACTGCTGGAGGACCATCCTCAGCCCCTCCCAGGCTGGGGCTCGCACCTGGTAATCGGGCTTGGTGAAGTAGTCGAGGCTGGCAATGTGGTCCAGGAAGAGATGGAACTCCGAGGGCATGTGCTTCAGCAGCATTCGGTGCTCGTATTTCTCCTTGATCATCCCTACCTGCTCCTGGAGGCGGGAGGGCACGGGAGATAGAGCCCCAGCTGCCCCCACCCTCTGCCTCCTCCACCCGGGAGTGGGGGCCTCACCTTGTCCTTGATCTTCCTCCAGGGCAGCTGGCCCACCGCAAACTCCACCAGCATATAGAAGAGAGACCACAGGTCATCGTGGCGGCCCATCTCCTAGGAGGGAAGGGAACAGTCACCTGGAGCTCTCAAGTCCTTCCCTGGGAGTGGTCAGCTGACCCTTCTTTGAGCGATGTTTGTCAGAGAGGCCTGATACCCAGACCTTGATGGTTAGCACTGGGGTCTCACTAAGACTATGGACCCTCCCATACCTCAACACACCAGAATCCCACAGTCAAAACTTTTTAAAATATTTTTTATGTTTATGTGTTTTGCCTGCATATATGTAAGGGTGCCACGTGCATGCAATGGCCACAGAGGCCAGAAGAGAGCACTGGATCCCCTAGAACTGGTAGATGATTATTAACTGCCATGTGGGTGCGGGGAACTGAACCCATGTCTTCTACAAGAGCAGCCAGTGCCCCTAGGCACTAAGCCATCTCTCTAGTCCCAGTCAAAACCTCTGACTATGTTTTGTTCCTTCCCCAGGGATTTTCAGTGAGAAGTTTCCCAGTAGAGAAGGAGATGGTAAGTCAAGGGCAGTCAACAGTGAAGCCAGGGCATCTGCAGTGGCCAGCTATAGTCCTTACCCCATTCTTTTCTTCCCACCTTGACATTGGTTGCCCCCATTAGCCCCCTCCACCCCCAACTTTGCTCTTCTGCCCCAAGCACTCATTTCAAGCTTTGCCACTCACTTACCCGGTTCTTGTGGGCATTGACTGAGGCATAGCGAACAGTCCCCCGAAACCCAGCCACGTTCCGAGGCTGCAGAGGAGAGACCACACCAGAACCTCACCTACCTCATAACCTTCGTCAATTGCTACCCTACCACCAAGACTAACTGCATGCCTTCATCCTGATACTCTCCTCTAAGATCCCCCCAGGTAAACCTGGTCAGGGGTAGCCTGAGGCACCCCAGAAAATGCAACTGCCACCTGCCACTGCTTGCCACCCAGAGCAGGCAAGGCAATCATAGGCTGTGGATGCAGTATCCACCAAGAGCCTGGCAAGAGGAGCTGGCCAGGCTGCCACCCCAGGATTGAGACACTGATACTGGGGAAGAGAAAGCCCACTTAGGCAGCTACAAGGAAAATAGGTGAAGGATTCCCGTATCAGGGAGCAGTGGGAGCCTCCGCTGTCCAATAGCCTGGTGGTTAACTCACCGGCCGGACGTCCCCCGTGGTGTTGGTGTACTGCCGGGCTAGCCCAAAGTCCAGCATGTAGCACTTTCTGTAGGTGGAGGGCAGCCGGCCCATGGCAAAGTTTGACTGTGGGAAGAAAGCCACAGTAAGCCCCCAGGGACTAGCCCACAGGCCCACTGAGAAAAGGACATTTACTGGGATGTGACACCTCAGCCATGGCAGGTGTGACCACCCTCAGTTTAAAGATACAGGGGGGCAGGGTCAAATGTGAGGGGCTTCTCTGAGATCAGAGAGCCTCAAGGACCAACGTGGCAAGGACTAGCCTTGAGCTCTGGTCAGTTCAACTCTAAATCTCAGCTCCCCAGTAAGGCAGTGTGGTTTGCTTTCCAGCTGCCCCGCTCTAAAGCAATAAACCTCATTGTTTTTACCGTGTGCCCTTGCGCCGTTCAGTCTGCCATCGCAGGCTTCACATTTTGGGGGCGGGGCGGGGTTGAGACAGGGTCTCCCTGTAGCCCCAGCTGCCCTGGAACTCACTATGTAGACCATGCTGGCCTTGAACGCACAGAGATCCGCCTGCCTCTGCCTCCCGAATGCTGGGATTAAAGGTGTGTGCCACCACGCCCGGCTATGCTTCATTTATTTCTATTCTTTCAAAGGAGAATTTTGTTGTTGTTACTTCTAGCATCAAGACCCAAGATGCCGCAAAAGGTCAGCTGCTTGAAATTCTTTGTCGAGTCCCAGCCCTTGGTCTCTCTGTGCACCCCTAAACCTCCTCAGCATTCTAGCTAGGTTCAGGGACTACTTGGGGTCATGGGTGAGGGATGAAGAAGAGCGGAGGACAGAGGTGAGGACTGGGAATGGGCCCGGCATGGCCAAGGGAAGAGGCAAGAGTGGATGGGGCTTGGAATGGAGAAAGGTTCAAGTAGAAGAGGCTGTTCTAGCCCAACCACTAGAGTGGAGAAGAAACCAGGACCCAGAGACCAGAGGAAGAGAGCTTGGAGCAATGCTCACCGGCTTGATGTCACGGTGCAGGAAGCCCACCGAATGGATAGCCTCAATGGACTCCAGGATCTGTTTGCCCAGCCGCAGCGTGGTACTCAGCGTGAAAGTGCCCCGTGGCTGGCTGCGACGCAAGTCGGCCAGGTTCCGGCCCTGGATGGGGTGGGGTGAGGTGAGGTGGAATAGGGCGCGGGGGGGGGGGGGGCACAGACTTACCTCAGCCACATCCCACCCACTGCCGCTGTGATTGGCTGCCCAGCCTGGCCCCAGAAGTGTTGTGCCTGCTCATACCCTCCTCCAGGAGCTGTTGTTTCCCTTCCCTGTGCCCCACCCCAAGTCACAGTTCCAGCTCTAGGGGAAAAGAGGAAGGTGAATGGGTCACGGAGACTTACCTGGAGCTGCATCACCACGTAATTAAATTTCTCATTCCGGCCACAGCCAATGAACCTGCACACATGGTCCTTCCCTGGGGGGCACAAAAACAGGGGCCTCCCAAGTCCCATTCCTTCCTCCTCACCAGCCCAGGATGAGGTTTGCTGCACTTTTTTTGTGTGTGGCATGCATGTGTGTGTGTATGTTTTTCACATGTAGTGTATGCACTCATGTGTGAGTCCACAAGCACGTGTGTGTGCATGTGAAGACCTAAGGGTGATGTCAGTAATCATCTTACATCACTCTTCCACTTTATTCACTGAGGTGTGTGTGTGGGGGGGGGTCTCTCAATCAAACCCAGAGCTCAAAGACGTGGCTGGTCTCACAAGCCAGCTTGCTCTGGGGAGCCCCTGTCTCCACCTTCCTTCCAAGACTGCAATTATTGGCAGGCTGCCACACCTATCCATTTACATGGGTTCTATGGATCTGAACCCATGCTCATCGGGCAAGTGCTTTAACCACTGAGCCATCTCCCATCCCTCTGGTACACTCTTTTTTATTTTTATTTTGTGTGTATGAGTCTTTTGCCTGCATGTATGTATGTAAGTGCACCATATGCATGCAATGCCCATGGAAACAAGAAGAGGGCATTGGATCTCCTGGAATTGGAGTTATAGACAGTTGTTAGCTATACGGCTGCTGGGAACTGAACCCTCTGGAAGAGCATCCAGAGCTCCTAACAGCTGAGCCACCTCTCCAGCCCCCCTTTCGTACACTCTTGATTTCCATTTTCTGGGCTTGGCCTCATGAGGGTCTCTGCCGTCTCCTTTCAACCACATACCCCCCCCCATTAGCCTCATCTCTCTGACGCTATGGTTCTATCATATCCAGCAAGTCATGAACCATCTCACTCTGCCATTACCAATACAATCTCTCCTCATCAATTTTTGACACTCCAGTCCCATCTCTTAGATCCTGTTTCTATCACCTTTTTTCTCAACCATTACATTTTCTTGCCCCAGCTTCTAATCTTACCCTTTCCAAGCCCCTTGTCCCATCACCTCTTCCCTCTCATCCCCCTGCCCCAGGGTCGCACCTTGAAGCTTTTTGAGTACGGCCACCTCCATCTTGAGGACCTGCTTAGGCTGCTGGGCTGACTCCACCTTGAGGGCCACATTCTCCCTAGTCAGTAGGTCCATGGCCTCGTAGATCTCACCAAAGCCCCCGCCCCCGATCTTTTTCAGCTGTAGAGGGAGGAGGAATTGTAGTCAGGGATCAGGCTGAACAGCTCTCCACCTGCTAGTTGCATCCTCCATTGGTAGAGTATCCTTGAAGAAGGCCCCTGAATCCTTCCCTTGCCCCACCATGTTGGTGCCCACACCTCCTCTCCTCTGCCTCTAGTGAGACAGATAGCTCAGCCCCTGAGTATAGGCCCCTCCCAACACACGCAGAGGAGGATATTTATTCTCCTTGATAAATATCCAAGGAAGATCTAAAGGTAAGAGATCATGATCATTCTTGATCTTCTCTTCTCTAAGAGGACAACAGGCTGGGTGTGGTGGTACAGGCCTTGGTCCCAGCACTCAGGAGGCAGAAGCAGGCAGATCTCTGTCAGAGCAAAGCCAGCCTGGTCTACATAGGGAGTTTCAGACCAGCTGGGACTACAGGGAGACCCTGTCTCAAAAAACAAACAAACAAAAAATAAAGGACAACAGGACTGGGGATGTAGCTCTGGTGGTAGAGTGCTTGCATAATGAAGATCTGAGTTCTACTCCTAGCAACACATACACTGGGGTTATCCTAGCACTGAGGAGGTAGGTAGATGCAAGGAGATCAGGATCGTTTAAGGCCAGCCTGAGATACTTTTTGAGACTCTGTCTCAAAGAAAGGAGCGGGTGGGGAGAGTGGGCGTGGTGGTGCATGCCTTTAATCTCAGCCCTTGGGAGGCAGAAGCAGGCGGAGCTCTGTGTATCTGAGGCTAGCCTGGTCTACCTAGTGAGTTCCAGATCAGCCAGAGCTACAGGAAGACTTTGTCTCCAAAAAAGAAAGAAAGAAAGTGGAAGGAAGGAAGGAAGGAAGGAAGGAAGGAAGGAAGGAAGGAAGGAAGGAAGGAAGGAAGGAAAGAAGGAAGGGATGATGGCTCAGCATGTAAAAGTGCTTGCTGCCAAGACTGACAACCCGAGTTTGATCACTGAACCTCACATGATGGAAGATGAGAAACGACTCCTACAAGTTGTCCTCTGACTTCCACATGTATACCATGGCATGTACAGCCACACACACACGCACACGCACATGCACATGCACACACACGCACACACACACACACACACATGTTTAAAAAACAAAAAACAAACAGAAGAGAAGCCAGAGGCTGGGCAGGGAGATGAAGTTTCTTGTGCCAGAGAAGGAAACAAAGAGAAAGGGAAGAAGTAACAAGAAACCAGAGGATGGAAGCTCGTCAGAGTGCAAAAACTTTATAACCATTAGGAAACAGCCAGACTCTAAGGAAATAAGGGCCTATCTTCCGGGTAGAGTGGAGCTCTAATCTCAGGGAGGTAGTGATCTCTTCCACATCCCTTTACAGTTTACTATGTATGAGCTTGGATGACAGGTTAGGTGGGTGAGGGGCTCACAGACACCATCACAGTCTCCCAGGCTCCACAGCACAGGTAAAAAAGGTCACATGTACATAGAGGGAAAACCTCTATGGTCCAGGAAGTGCAGTACGTTGCACACGTCACAGCTAGTAAATACCTGAGTTCCATCTGAACCCAGGTGATCAGAGACAGAACCCACTCTGACACAAAATCCACAAGGTTGCAAGAGCGTGGACCACACTGGCACTGACAGTGAGTGCTGAGACTCAGGCCAAGTTAGGCAGCCATCAGAATCCCTGCTGGAGGGAACAGGGCAGCCCAGCCATTTCTAATCATATCCCAAAACTTCCAAGGGTCCCCCAACATCTCCACTGGCTTTATTCCCAAATTAAGCCAACTTTTTCAGGTTGCCACTCACCCCTCAAGCAAGAGGTTAGGTACCTGCATCCATGCAGTCAGCATCCTCTCCCTCCATCCTGTGACTAGGACATTCTTGTCTAGTGGGCACAGTAACTAAGCCCCTCACAATTGGGGGGAATCCATGAAAACATTTTAACTTATCTTCAAATCAGGAGATAAAGAAATTGGGGCTGGAAAGATGGCTCAGTGGTTAAAAGCACTGACTGCTCTTGTAGAGGACCTGGGTTTGGTTCCCAGCACCTACATGGTGGCTAGCGACTGTCTGTAACTATATTTCCAGAACTCTGATGTCCTCTTCTGGCCTCTGCAGGCACTGCACACACAGGGGCACTTACAGGCATGTAGGAAAAACACTCATATACATAAAATAATCTTTTGAGATATTTAATTTTTTTTAATTTTAATTATTATTTTTATTTTATTTGTGTATATTGCCTGCATATAGGTAAATTCACCCGTGTCATGCAATCAGAAGAGGCTGTTGGTTCCTCTGGGACTGAAGTTAAGGACAGTTGTTAGCTGCCGTGTGGGTGCTGGGATTCAAACCCAGGTCTTCTGCAAGAACAACCAGTGTTCTTAACCGTTGAGCCATCTCTCCAGCCCCCAGCAATAAATATTTTAAAAAACATAAACAAACTTTTGGGTCAAAGAGAAAATTTTAATCTATAATAAGAATATATTTCTCTTTATGACTGTAATACACAATTTTTAGTACTTTATTATAAAAAAAAAAAAAAGTGCCACAAAGCTGAAAGTTCCGAGGGCCCATGAATGTCACAAAGTAATCTGGCTCACAGCCCCTTAATAGGACACCCTCCCAACCCTTTACAGCCTCCTTTATTTTTTAATGATCCACTCCCTGCAGAAGACTCTCCCTAAACCAGAGAATAAATAGGACGAAACAGAGACAGTGCTTACATGGGAAGGACACCCTGTTTCTTGACTCCACTCTGGGTGACCTAGGATCATTTGAGTTTCTTAAACTTTTTGAGCCTCTACTTTTTGTTTTCTGTAAAATGAAAAGTCAAGGGGCTGGAGAGATGGCTCAGGGTTAAGAGCACTGACTGCTCTTGCAGAGGACCTAGGTTCGATTCCCAACACCCACATGGCGGCTATGAACCGTCTTTAACTCCAGTTCTAGGGGAATCGACGCCCTCTTCTGACCTCCGCAGCATTGCACAACATGGGGTGCACTCACATACATGCAGGCAATACACTCATACACATAAAATAAAAATAATAAATAAAAATTTTTAAATGAAGAATTGAACTGGAATGAGTCATAGAGACTCATTTCAGCCCCATGGTCCCAATTCTTGGATGGGCTGATTTGAGGTGTTTGTGTTAATTTAGTAGAGCTGGTCCTACCTACCAAGTTCCCTACCAGTTATGGGAACTCGATAATTTAGCTAATCTCTAGGCCCAGTTTCTACATTTGTGAAATTGGGGTATTGCAGTATCTACTCCATCCGTTGCTGAGATAACACAGAAGGCACTAGCGCAGCCCCTGACAACGAGAAAGGCACAAAACAATACTAAGACTTTCTCACTGCTGTTTGCCAGGCTGATTCAGAGGAGCAGCCCTCAAGAAAAATAACGATTTAAAAGTATTCCACCTCGTTCATTAACCCCCCTCCCATTTCTCCTGGTTGCAGCCCTTTGTTTTTGTTTCCAGAACTCCCACATCAGTCTTATCCCGCCCTGAAAATGGCAGCATCTAACACCAAGTCTCCCTAGTTCCCCAAGGAGATGCCATAAAGAGAGACCAGGTCTAGTAGACATGCCCTCCCTCAACTCCCCCTTGCCATTTCCCTCCCTGGCTCACCCCATTCCCCCCTCACAAAGCACAAGAAAGCCTTAGCCTAAACTCAGTGTGTGTGTTAACAGTCTTTATGGTGCCTTTTCAATACAAATGTTATTCAGCCTCCCATCTGCCGGAAGCTCCTGTGCCAGAGACCCAGGGGGTCTTAGAACACTTCTCACTTTGCCAGACACTTCCTGCTTTTAAGACTGTCCTGGTTTTGCCTCACATTTCCATCCAGTTACTTCCCCTCTCGAAAAGAGACTTCTCTGGGGGCCCGGGGAGTCTCCTTTCTTAACCTCTTCCACCTCCTCTCCCAATCTTTGAAAATGCCATCACTTTGCCTCTCTGCCTCTCTCTCCTCCCCTCCCCTCTCCTCCTCTCTCCTGTCTCTGGACCTCTAGGCGACCGGGTGACTGTTGCCATGGAGAGCCGCCTGCACCCAGTCCCCACCCTCCTCTCCAACCTTGCACCCCTGGTGAGCAGAGCCACCACCACCACCACCAAAGCATGGGTCCGCGCACTAGATAACAGACCACACACACACACACACACACACACACACACACACACACACACACTCACACACACACACACACACACACACACACACACACACACGTGTAAATCTGACCCCAGTCGTTCTCTCTTCCCCTTGGCTCCCCATTCCGATGCAGACCCCGTCCCACACTTTCTCATCCCACCCCTGTAATAAAGAAGACACTAGAGTGCTCTAAATCGACGGAAGGAAAAAGGGGTTGGAAGGAGACTGATTTACAGTAGGTCTCATTCCCTAGACACAGCTATTGCCCCCAACCCTTACATGACCCGCTCCCACCAAGGGCCTCATGCTCTGAAGAGGCTCGGACTACAACTCCCAGCAGGCCATGCAGCCTGAAACCCTGGGCTGGAGCAACAAGGCACGCTGGGAGATGGAGTCTCGACGTGTTGCACCTGCCGCAGCAACCCGGGAAGGGAGGAGGGTGGATGGAGAAGACGGAGTGTGGATGAGGTGGGAGCAGCCGGCAGAGCCTCTTTCCCCAGACCCAAGCTTTTCCATCTCCTGCGGAAGCGGAGGAACACATGCTCACTCACTGTCCTTCCCCAAGGTGCAGCAGAGAGAGCCCCCTCCCCCACCGCGCCCTCCTCCGCACGCCGGGTTCTGCAGCTTGCGCCCAGACACCCAACCAGGAGTTGCTCAGGCTAGGCCGGACCAACATGACCTTAGTCCGGGAAGGGGTGAGAGGGAGCGGGGTTGGAGAGAGGGCGCTGGGTGAAAGTGTGGGCAGAAATAATGACCTGCGAGCAGTGTGCAAATGAGCTCGGGGACACCTCCCTCGATGTAAAGGTTCCAAGGGCACCCGTCTTAACCAGTCTCCAGGCCTCTTCTTCTCCCTCCCCCTTCCTTCCTTCTTCCGCGCCGGTCACTCACTCACCACCTTCCAGCGATCTTTGACCACGTAGTTGGCCGGCAGGATGTCGGCCTGCTCCCCTCCCCCACTCATGTTGGTTCCGTCCTTAAGAGCAGCCGCTAGGCACTGCATCCGCCAGCCGGAGGGAGGGGTGTCCGCAGGGCCTGCCCTTGAGGGGCCATCTACCTGGGGAAGTGAGGAGGGGGCAGTGAACAGACCGGCTGCCACCCAGGACCACCTGACAACTGTGGAGGGCAGTCGGGCTCCTGGTTCCTTTCCTGAACCACTGGGCAGATGCTCCAGTGGGTTACTCCTGACAATAGAGGTCAGTGGAAGAGAGAAATTTAAACTACAAACGGGAGGTGTGAAAACCAGCAACAGGACACACACACGGGGAAATAAGGAGAGGGCAGTGATGTGTGAAACAGCTTACCATAGAAACATCACTAACTAATGAGGGGAAGACCAGTGGGCTAGCCAGGGGCATCCTAGACTGATACCCAAGAATGACCAGCTTGAGTCACTCTACCTGTGGTCCCTGGGACCCACACCTTCCCTGTACCACAAAATTCCTGTGGAGCTGCAAATCATAGGCTGGAAGAAAGGGAAGACTTGCTGACCAAGGGGTGACCCATGGAAGACCCACATTAGAGTGACCAGCTAGCCAACCAGTGAGATATGATGAAGAAAAAAATGAGGGCATGCATGACAGTCCCTTAAGAGTGATACTGAGGCAGACAGATTGCTGAGTGGTGCACATCACCTTCTGTGGGGATCAACCCCACTTGCAGCCACAGGGCTGGGAAACCAGGATGCGTGCCATGGGTAAACATGAGACCATGGACTCAAGCCAAAGATTTCAGAGGGATGGCAGCTCTGTGGCCACTCCACGGAGACCAAAGTAGATTGAACTGGGGGAGAGCAGTACAGTGGGTGAAGCCTATGGGAAGACAGGAATGACTGAAAACCACAGGTCTGGGTGGGCAGGAGTGAGAGCCTTTGACCACATCTTTCTAGACTGCTCAGGAGGAAGGAATACAGCTTCTGTTGAACACAATAGAAGGTGTATAGAGGTTGAGTCTTGGAGACAGCAACTAAATGAGGCAGTACTAAAGCACAAGTTATTCAAGGAAAACTGTGCATGTGCCTCTGTCAACATGCGCCTCTGTTCATGTATCCCTCTGTATGAATCTATGTCTTTCTCTCTGTGCCTATTTATGTGTGTCTATGTTTGTGTGTTCTTACATATGTGTCTGTGTCTACTGGTGCTGTGCACCTATGTAGGGAAAGGACCAGAAAAGGTGACTTTCTGGTATCTCTGCCAGCTCAGCACAGAGTTACAGGGAAAGGAAGTTACTCCAGCTGGGGAGTGGGAAAAGGAGAGGAAGAAGGGAGGCTAAGGCTTTCAGTAGAGGGGGTGGGAATTACATTAGCCTGACTTTCTTTGGGATGGGATAACTTCCCAGGGCTCTGCATCTAGACATCCTGATAAGGGCATGATGGGCGGGATGTGGGATATGAAGGCTTGCAGCATCCTTCAACAGGTCACTGTGTGCCACAGGGGACACATGGAGAAGCATCTCCATGGGACAAGACATTCTCACTCTTTCTTGAAGTGACTACACTGAATTTTTCCTGCAATCCCTACAGCTTCCGGATACCAGAGCTTCCCATTCTGCTGATGTGGGATCTGGGGCATCGGGAATTGGGAAGGCATAGAGGACAATGGTGGGATGAAGGGAGTGGAATGTAGGTGGAGGAGGCAAGACTGAAGCAGCAAGGCGTAGTGGCACACATCTGTAATCCCACCAGGTGGAGGCAGGGAGACAAGAGATTCAAGACTAGCTTTGGGTATACATCAAGTTCAAGGCCAGCCTGGATGACACGAAACCCTGACTGAAAATAAAAAAACAAGAAACAAGAACAAAGCAAAACAAAACAAAAAAACCCTGAAGAACTAATTGAGCAGGTGAGGTAAGAGTCTCGAGTGGAACTCTAGAGCTGGGTAGTAGCTCAGTGGTACAGTTTCCTCCCTAGCATGCAGGAGGCCGTAGATCCCAGCCCCAGCACAGGAAGGGGGAAAAGACAAGAAAACTGAATTCAGGCTACAGAGGTAGTTCAGCGGTCAACCACATGTTCAGCATACTCAAGGTCCCAGTGTCAACCCCCAGCACCACCAAAATTTCTTTTCAATAAAAAGGGGGTTTGGGGGCCTCCAAGATGGTTTAGTGGGTTAAGGTACTTGCCACCAAGCTTGATAACCTGAGTTTGATCCCTGGAACTCACATGGTGGAAAGAGAGACTTGACTCCTGCAAGTTGTCCTCTGACCTCATCACACAGACCATGGAATGGATACAGCCCCCTCCTGATAAATTAATAGGAATATAATAAAAGGGGGGTTGGGGATCACTTCAGTGGTAGAGCACTTGTCTAGCAAGTACAAGGCCCGACATTCAGTCCCTAGCACTGGAAAAATAATAATAAAAGAAAAATAAGTTGAATAACTGGGTGACCTCTGGTGGGGCTCTCAGTCCTGTGATGGTGGGTTCTTCAGGTGGGTGAGAAAAATTTGTGTGCGCTCACATTTTATATTTAGGCAAACCTAAAAGGAATGGGTGAGGGGAGAAAAGAAACCTGGTTATCCATATCCACCATCCTCCAGAGATGATGCCTCCAATGACTCCAGATAGGGTTGGAAGACACAATTGGCTGCCCCATTACTGCCCTCTCAGGCCCTTCTGTGTGTGTGGAGTCCTGGCTGTGTGCATGCATGAGAATGTGAGACCAGTGATGAGAGAGAGAGAGAGAGAGAGAGAGAGAGAGAGAGAGAGAGAGGAGGGGCAATGGGGCAGGTGAGAAAGGTGTGCAGGAGAGCTGATGGGACAGGGCGGATGTGGAGTGACAGGATGAGGGGAGCGGGGTGGGTAAGAGAAGAGACAGGTGCAGATCATGGTGGCCGGGAAGGAAATGACAAGACCCCGAGAGGGGATTCTGGGCACAGGTGAAGGGTTAGGAAGGAGGCTGGTGGGAGGAAGGGAGAGACTGAGGATGAAAGAGAGCGTCTCAAGACAACTGAGGTGACAGGAGACTCATGGAGGATGCCATAGGGATGAGGGGCGGAGGTGAGGAGGATGGGCTAGGGAGGGTGGGTCTGTGCGGGGGCTGGGAGCAGTTCCAGGCCTCAGCTGCGGCCCAGGCTGTGTAGGCCAGCGTCCCGGCTCGGGCGGCGGCGGCGGCGGGGAGGGGAGCGGATCCCACCGCGCTGGGAGGGCAGCCCCGCCGCAGGCCCGATGAGTCCCCAGAAGGAA